TGAAGGATTTGGAACGCAGCCACCTGAAACGGCGCCTCGATGAAGCATCGCTGAAGCAGCAAAACGTAACCGACTTTTTACGACACTCTTCGTCAAAAAATCTTATAACGGCTTTGAAAAATTCGCGCGAACACACTACGGACAATTCCTCCCGTTCGGAGGGCCCTCGATCAAACCAATCCGATATCAGCCCGATTAATGAAGCAAGGCCACGGGTGGCAACTAGGCATTATCTGGATAATAACTCATAAATCATGAACTATTGTAACTTGATTGATGGAGCTCTATTCAAGCGAGAAACGCCTCAAGTTCGAGATCACGTGACCAGGCTTATTGATGGCGACCCCGTGAGTCGTAAACACCCATAATTCCTTGTATATTTCATCATTAACTTTAATGAAATGGCGAGATTTTGCCATTTGTCGCCCTGCAAGAGAGAAAAGCTCGGCTGCGCGTTCGTTTGCTGATCAGACGAAATGTTTTTGGATGTTTACACTCCAGAAGGAATAACCAGCGCGTCCTTTACTTGACTCCATTGCCTGTTAATTCAAAAGTAATTTGCGGCATTATTCTCTTGATGCACACCGGTCTGCCCTGGAGACGGAATGTGATGAAACAATAATTCTGTCGTCCTGGTAGCTGAGCAACTTTCTGCGTGACTCAATCAACAAAACTGAGCGTTGAACATTATTTTTGTGCATTTATCATATTTTTTATAACATAACACTATGTAGATGCTGTCTAAAGCTACAGCGTATTTCCCGGCCATCTTGTTTTGATGTGGCGGTGTAAATTGCTGTCATTTATATATATTTTACAGGCGTATCAGAGTTTACGGATGCCTCTGCGCTTAAGGAAACTACGGGAAAATATATGGGAAATGTATATTTTTGGCAAATGATCTCCACCAGAGAATACAGGGCAATTTTTCAGCGTGGAAACGCCGATACACACCCTATCCTGTCGCACTGGAAAGAAGCCAAGCTATGAATATTCATGATATACATCAAAAGGGCAATGCTATTCCTCTGTGAGCCCTGGCAATTTACCGGGGCTCATTTTCACTGCAATCTAAGAGACAGGATCGAAATTATAAGATCGATGATGTTATCAGCCAAATGGGCTGGAAAATACTCCGGTTTGCGGCATAGAACTAAAAAGAAACTTTATTGACAGGACAAAGGTACAGTGTGTTTTATGTGGTCGACTACGTCAGACCATTGTTGTAAATAGACCAAAATATCGGCCAACAAATGATAGCGTGATGAAGACACTTAAACACATCAATCTCCCCTATGACAGTGGCATTTTGAATGTGACAATGGAAGAAGATTCTCAATACATGCTGTTTTGTCCTGAACTGAAAACATTTCCTCCAAGAGCGAAAGTTACAAGTGCCATATCATCGCCATCGTTTGGCCGGGTTTTTCGGATGGCGTGTATTTAGTAACACACCACCAGTGCCCTTAATTGTTGTTTGAATGGTACGTCTAACAGGCACTGTCGCTTGAAGATGCGCAATTCATCTTAATTCATAGTAATAGTTTTCTAATCAGAATATCTGTAATTGAATCGGTGCCCGAGGCCTTCAGAAGATATTCATATCCCGGGCTGACGCTGTGAACCTGACTGCGGCAGCGCCAGTTTGCGGCAGGTGTCTCGTACTATCCCGATCACCCACATGAATATGGTGATGTGGGACCCAAAGCTTTCACACACCTCCTCTGAATCGCTCCGGTGAAGGCGGTCTTCAATATCAAACGCTCTTTCATCTAAGATTAATAGCTACCGGTTTTCGCTTGAAGGTATCATATGTTGTCATGTGGAGAGAGATGATCATCGGTCGACTGCGGGCTGACAACGCGTCCCTGGTCCGGCGTCACGTGTTTGGACCCCCGGGTCTATTAATCTCCCACGATCGCCATTGTCTCGGCATACTCGTAAACTTATGCCGAAACATTGTTGCCTCCAATTTTGTCCGGTAACATGAGCAGAGCCGGAAGGTTTAGTACCTTCGCAAAGAAGGTTATGTTTTCGGTTTAGTGTGTTTGTGTGTGTTTGTGAGTAACATAGCTGGAGAAGTAGGTGAGCCTTTATACTTTGTTTGTCCGGGTAGGTTTTAAAGACAGGGTCTATAATAGGTCCCTAGCGGATTTCTATGATACTGTGACTGAACTACCTCGTACCTCCTCTAAACCATCTCCCTGCCTTTAGAAAGATGACAGCAGGGGAAGCTGTCAGACTATTATCTTACTGGTAACCATGGTGATTCCCATGCCGGGCTCCCATTGGTACTCCATCTTTAGACTGGTTACCTCAAGTTCAACACCATTAACCATAAAACTCAACAGGAAAGGGACCGCCACGTCCCCGAACAGCGCGAGACTCCATCCCAACTCCCCTGGCGATGCCTTGTTTAGCTCCTTCAGCTGACTTGACAAAGTCGTTAACAACCTGAGGGCGCAGCCCTGACCCTCCGACGATCAGTCAATTTGCGGCGTTCTGATGTTTTGAAGGATCACGTCGGATATCAGGTCGCTCCATCAGGTGTATCAATGAACAATTATGATTGAGACCCAAACTTCCTCATCGTTGATTTATAAATGGAGGTGCATCGAGGTGCATGCTGGGTAATGGCAAATGATCACGTGACGACTCGAGCCCGACGCGACGCGTGCGGCCTAAGTTTGAACAGTCCGCCTCTGTCTGTGGATCAGCGCGTTCAAAGATCCCTCTGTTATGGGAACGGTTTTAAAACTATAAAGCAAATGCCCTGATGAATAGATCGTTATTCTGTGTGGCTGTTGGGATCGGGATAATTTGCAGTGCCGTTTTGCTCGCTACATCGCCCCACCCTCCCGCAATCAAACCCAGCGGCAGCGGCAATAAATGATAATAAAACACGACACGTCTATTAATGGTTGAGCACTCCAATTTCGTGGATGAGACTTAATGTTCCCTTAGAATATTATACTTTAAAGAAGGCATCCATCATCGCCACGTACTTTTTACGTACCAATTTCAATATACGCATCGAAAAACGTGCACCTAACATAAAAACAGTCTTAAGAAATTAAGTGCCAAATCCCGCCAGTTTCATATCATTAACGCTAATCCTAGATAAAAGCCCCAAGATGGGATTTTTTGTTGTAAGACAGAACTTTTTGATGGACAGTACGTAGAGCTAGCTGCCACGCCCTGTTGATAAGTACTAAGGCACAAGACAAGTGTTGATCCCACAAGTTTGCCTGGGCTGCTCGTGGGCGGATCTGTTCAAGTGTTTTTGCCGTTTGTCACCCACAAGGGCGTACCATTAAACAAGGTTGATGCCGCGGACTGCTCTTCAGCCATCGATCCGCTCGGAGTCGGGCGATCCTTCAGCTAAATCACCGCTCGTGACGGAGACCGACCGTCTCCAGAAATGACCACGGCAGGTTTATAGCTCGCCGGTAATGAAGTTCAAGATTTAGGACGTTTTACTGGACGTGAAGGGCTGATTCGGTGTGAGGACCATATGTCATCGTATGACGTACTACTGGCTATTTAGAAATCTGCTGACTCTTTTCAAGGAGGCCGACAATATATGTGTGCATTCAGAAGAACTTTTTGTACAGGAATGACTCCATCGTGTTTTTTTTCTTTACAATAGTTCTTTATTCAGACGTCGAGGAGAAAACATCTTATTGTGTTTCCTTAATGGACATCTGCAGAGTATTTGTCAAACCTTCTATTCCTGAATAATATATTGACTTCGAAGATGAAAATATGAGACAGTATAATCGGTGACTCTTTCGTCATTTTTATCAGTGGCATGCAAACCATAAACATATACAATTGTGACATAAATTAACCACAAATACCGGAAAAAGCCGATGGCTTTTCCAGCAATACATACATGTCATATATAGTTCATGGACTTAAAGTGGAAATGTGACAGATAATTATTTATATCCACAATACCGATTGCGTTCTACAAATTTAATGCAATGGAATGCATTGATTGGCTAATTAATAATTTCTCCCGTCTCCACCCCCTGTTGTCCTATGACGACATGATGATAAAACCTTAGACATATGTTTATAGCCTCGGGCAGTTAAAAGCGTCATCTGGCGCAATTCACCGTAACTTCAAGAACACCGCATCTATCGAAAAGAGCAGCAATTATGCAAACTACTAGTATCAAATCAGATCTTGATTTCAGATCCAACATTTCCAACTTTATGGACAAACACAGATGGCCAGTTGTTGAGAGGTTGAGAGTGCTGCTGGCATTTTAGTTGATACCACATTTAACCCCAAAATCCTGTGAAGGAACTCGCCTGTCTAAAGCTAATAGTGAAGCCTTTGGAAGCTGCAATGCTCGAGGATCTGCGACACTCTTTTCCGCCACATGGCGGCAGCAGTTTGTAAGACACGTCCTCGACTGCCCCACGAATTCCCTCAATTGGATGTCGTATATATATAAGCCTACTGTACGACGGGTGTCACGATCGGGCTCTAAACTGACGATGGACACTCTTCTCAAATACGCACGAGAAATTTTGAATGTTTAGTACTAATACCGCTAAGAAATATCTACAGTCAACAACTTCAGATTGGTTCAGTTCACCTGGACGTTGGAACGTGCGTTTGAAGTGCTTGGCGTGAGTGTTGTTTGGAGTGTGACGATATCGATGATGCAACAAAAACACCCGGGACAATGGTGTTTACAGATCAGCCTATCGGCTGGACCTGCATTGTACTTTGGTCGGAGTCAGCAGGAATTTCGTCAGGTGCAAATATGTTTATCATACGGTGGATACCGTAATCATCTAACTGTTGAACTCTTTAAAATCATTCTCTGTGATGTTCTTCAAATCAGGAAGTCAGAACATTTTTGTATATGAGCGTCCCACATCTCCTCTGACACATCTCTATTCCTGACGCTTTTAAAGACCTAAAGAGCTGACAACAATATATTTGTACCCAACTTAATAATTAAGTTTTACGGTACAGTAGGGCAACAGTAAGCGTCGTCCTTGGGCAAGTGCCAGACTGAGATTCAACCGGCACGTTGTCGGGTAGCCTGATCGGGCGACACAAGATGGCGAATCTTCTACACCTTCTCGTTCTTTTCTCCGTCCTCGGCTGTTCCTTTGCAGACCACCCGGGCCATGTGGACTATCCCGGCGGGCTGCAGAGCGGGTGCCTGCAGGGAGGGAAGCACAAGGACGCCCCGTCTCCCGAGGAGGGCCTCGGAGTCTGCCGGGACTACTCGGACTCCAGCTGCTGCACGGCAGACATCCCCTGGCAACTCTCGGTCACCCCCATCGTCGAGGTGGACGGCTTTCGCTGGGACAACTGTGGCACCCTGAGCAAGCGGTAAGACGGAGAAGACACGAGAGCTAACTATGTTCATTAAGTGCGATTAAATGTGCAAAGATTGATTGTAACAAGTCATTCGGTGTGATATAGCTAGCTGCCGCCGCGCCGCGTGCCTGCGAAGCTGGTGTGTTACGCCGAAGGGCGGTTATACCGGCTGTACTGATACAGATACAGTTAAACAACTCCTGCAAGTATGCAGGCAGCTCACGAATATATATATACATAAAGTTTACAAGTTGTGTACGATTACGTAAGCTATAATAATTATACGTATGATGTTTACAATGTATCAGAATTCCCTGCCACATGCACAAATAGGTGATAGAAAAACATGTAAACTGCTTGCCATGCTAAAAGTGTTTACAGATTTACGCTTGCTCCTTGGTTTCTTTCAACTGGGTGAAGATTTCCATCCCGTTGACTCTTTTAAAACCCACAAAGTCATGGTTGACCTTGAGCTGTGTGTTAATTGCGAAAACGAAGATTTAGGACATCCTCCGGGTGTTTGGTCTTTTCTGGCCCGCTGATAAAACGGCTGTAAACACAGGTGAGATGTTTACATGGCCACTCCAGACAGCGATAAGAACTGCCCGTCTGGCTGACTTCGCTAAGAAATACACTAATTGCTTCAGAAGCTCACCCTCCATTTTCACAATAGCAACGCCACTTAGGGGTAGGGTTTAAGCCTCGGGTCTTTTACATTTCAAAGGGAGCTCCAGTTTTAATACCCACATGCGTACACTAGAGACTAAAAGCAATAAGGCGAGGTCCTTGAATTTCTTTCTTCTAGTTTTTCCCACCCAGCCTTTTGGAGTAAGTCATTAGGCACTTCTAGTTTAAGATTTCTTTCCAAAATTCTTTTTGTTAACGTTAGACACTTTGCGATACCAAGGTTATAGAACTTTGAAAAAAGTGTAATATAATTTACCTCTGAGCAAGATAGGTGGCGGGTATACATAAATACCTTGGTTGTTACAAAGTCACATACTAGTAGCTCGATTTGACCTTGAACTGCAATACAACAACGTGTACTGCACAGTACATAAACTTTTCTTTAGTTTAAAGTTTAAACTTTTGATCCAACACAATAAAGTTCTCTCACTCTGGTCTTCCTCAGTAGACTGACCCAGTGAAGCTTGCCACGTGGCTTCTTTGAAGTGTGGCGACAGCACTGGGTCAAAGGTATCTGGTAGACGATGTCGGCCCCCGTCGCGGTTTTAAAGTTTTTTTTACAAAGTCACATACTAATAGCTTGATTTGACCTTGAACTGCACAGTATATTAACTGCACAGTATATTAACTATTCTTTAGTGTAAAGTTAAAACTTTTGATCCAACACAATAAAGTTCTCTCACTCTGGTCTTCCTCAGTAGACTGACCCAGTTAAGCTTGCCACGTGGCTTCTTTGAAGTGTGGCGACAACACTGGTCAAAGGTATCTGGTAGACGATGTCGGCCCCCGTCGCGGTTTTGAAGTTTTACCAGCCCATTCCGTGATTGATGTTAGCTACGAGAGTCTATATGCCCCATTTCCACTAGGATTGTCCGGATTTAGCCGAATTTATCGGCTACCGGCTTGAAGCAGGATCGAAGCCGGATCAAAGCGAATCAATTCGGTTCGATCCGGACAATTTTATCCTAGTGGGAAAAGTGCCTAAATGTCAGGTGCCTATCTTGCCGTACAGGTGCCAAGACTTCATGGTGAACGTGGAGTGTTTCTACCGCTGCTCGCCGTCGCTGCCGACCTGGGCCGCGGCGCACCCGTCCGCCGTCAGAGGCGTGCCTGTCTGCGGGCAGTTCTGCGACGACTGGATGGACGCGTGTCGGGACGACCTGACGTGCGCGGACAACTGGATCACCGGCTGGAGGGTACAGGACGGCGAGCTGAACAAGTGCCGCAAGGACGAGAGGTGCCGGAGCTTCGCAGAGGTATAGTTGTGTTTTACGCAAAAAAAAAAACAGTTACTCAAGCAACTGGATATGATTTTGGAAACGGTCAGGCGTTTCAGGTAGCATCCACTACCTTTCGTCAGTGACACTACAGAACGTGAAGAAATTCAGGTCCATAAGCAAGAACGCAGTTGTGTTTTGCTTGGGTATCCATAATAGATGGTGCTTGGTTATTTATCATAGATGGTGCTATGGAGCTCCCCTGTTGACTGACTCAAGTTTTGTCCTTCCTTTGCTAGTCTTGACATGTGGAGCCTAGGTATGTCACCGGATCGACCCCCCCCCCCATCTTACATACGGTTTTCATACGGTCGGTATAATACTATATTTATACGTCCTCAGGTGTTCAGAAATGGGCGTGGCCTGTGTGAGAGCATCTGGGGTCAGTCCTTCACCTACGAGTCCACCTCTGACACGCCATGTCTGGACTTCCGCTTCCCGCCAAACGAGGGCCAGATCACGGTCCCAGAACCTGGGACAGAGAGCACCGAGCCGGCGTTCAAGAGACAGGACGAGTGTATCATCGGTAAAGCATTTGTATCGGAAAAATTCATTTTGATGTAACATACGATACCATACACACAAACAGAAAACAAGGTAATAAACCAACTAAAGATTCGCGGAACTGAGTACGAAAGAGTTATGACTTGTGTAATGCCTATTAAACACTTAAAATATACGACAAAAGCTGTCTCCATCTAGACATCACAGACATCTATTTGTTTTCAATCTAACTCCGGAATAGTTGCATCAGGTTGGTAAATCAACTTGGCAATGTTTTTGCACATAATCAGTTTCGGTAGCCCTGCGACCTTCCTCGGGTCAACATTGACTATTTGTATAACTAATATGTTTGACTGTTTCCATGCAGACGCCGTTGATTTTCACAAGAAGAAGCCGTCCCCTGAGCCGAAGCTGAACGTCTGCAGGGACTACCGACAGGACAGCTGCTGCACCACGGAGATCGACAACGACATGCTCACCAGGCCCATCGGCAAGGTCGGGCCGATGAACTGGGACACCTGCGGCCCTCTCAGCCCAAGGTAGGGCACCTGCGTGAGAAGAGGCTGGTCATGTCAACGAAGAGCTGTCATAAACAGCAACATTTTTAGCAAGATAATAATAAAAATGGTTTATTGGTCAAACATTACCCGTGCAATCACAGCATTTTACTGCGCTGAATTGATGCAGGGTTTACAATCACATAATACACATGATATATATAACATATTTGCTCCACACACATTTTTGTGGAACTGTCGCAAGGGTCTGTGCGGCTGCCATTCGGCGCCACCAGGTGACCTTAATACGTTGTCATAGTATACTTCTCTTAAAGCTTGTTACGGTAATAATTGTATGATTTGCAGACTGAATGTGTGCGAGTTTATGGTGTTCTTTCTCCTTGTTTCATGCGAAGGTGTGAAGAATTTCTGATTGACTCCGAGTGTTTCTACCAATGCTCCCCGCTCGTCAACAAATGGCGCGTTCCTGGTGTTGATCCCACAGTAGACCCTTTCACGCCGGTGGTAGAAGGTACGTCATGCGCTAATCCTGTCTTCACATCACGTAATATACTGGTGTATAGTTGTGTGTACTTAGTTACTTACTTAGGCCCTTCGTTCCTGCGAGCATAGGCCACCGACGATAGTTCTCTACTTCACCCGTCTCCGGCTGTCTTTCTCAGGTCATCCCAACGGCAGTACGTAATTGCTCGCTACTCTCCTCATCTCCTCCTCAGTATCTCTTCTCCAGCTGTTCCCAGGCCGTCCTCTCTTCTTCCCTGTGGATTCCAACAGTACACAGTAGTGTGTAGGTTTCAATAAAACAAATGATACTTTGGTGCAACAGAACTAATTTTTTTATTCCAGCACAGAAATTTAGCACATAGATTTTTGACTGTCCCATCCTCTCTCGGATGCATATCATTCTTCACAGACCATCGGTTCCTGTCCTGCTGGATTCGTGTATAGCCCTGTTCCCTCTCCGACTTTTGATACAATCTTGGGCGACTACACTACAAATGCCTTCTTCTCGTGAGTTTTTTTTTTTGTTGTTGTTGTTGTTGAGTCCTTTTGACCCCCTTTCTTTATCGCGTACTTTCTGGCAGGCATCCCTCTCTGTTCTCACTTCTGCGACGGTATGTTCAACGCCTGTAAGTTCGACCGCACATGCGCAGTGAACTGGGCCTCGGACTGGGATTTCTCGACGGGTGAAAATAAATGCAAACCGGATTCCAAATGCGAATTCATCAAGGACGTAAGTTTGAAATCACATGATGCGTTTCTGCTACATGTATAAGTTCACAAACTTGGTGGTTTCTTATAATGTTGGTATTTGGTCGTGTGATTATGGGTAATAAGTCACTTAAGGCAAGTTTGGGCAGGGTCAGTCAGTCGTGTTGTGAATTTGTGGCACATGCTGGCCTTTTGCGGCATTTATGAGTCGGCACTAGTACTGTACTGAGTTCTCGAGTTCCGTGGAGCTTTAGCAGCCTGGGTGTCGTCTTCCGTAGTTACCACCGGCTTCATATTGTCGCTTGCTACCATGTTCTACAGAGGATGGCACACAGACCAGAGCTTCGGAGAAGGTGATCTTTTTTTAAGAACAGGTGAAAATCAATGCGCGCGCGGATTAACGATGTGTATATGTCCCCGCCATGGCAGGTGTTTCAGAACGCCAAGCACATGTGCGAGAGCGTGTGGGGCTCGGCCTTCAGGTACGTGTCCAACCGGAACGAGCCGTGCCTGGACCCGAGCGTGCACCCGAACGAACAGGTCACCAAGCCGAGGAAGGGGTCGGTGGCTCCTGCGGAGAGTGAAGATAAATGGGGCTGCCTGAAAACCTCGTATCACAAGGTGAGAACGTTATATGAAAATATCATTATCAGTTCAGTTCATTTCAGTTCCTCCTCCTCAATGAAGTGACACCATAATAATATCCTGTCTCCACAAGTTTCTGTCTCGCATGACAGAGCACAGTTCATCACCTTGAAGACGCATGCCCTCCTCAACTATCTTCTTGAGAAGGGAGACCACGCCTACGATTCTCCTTCGGTTTTCAAAGAAAATGAATATGATTATATGAAAAGCATAGTCTTTTCAGCTAAGTGTAAAGCTTAAGAATGTCTAATGGACCAACCTCTACTGTATCAGAATTAACAGCTTCAGTTGAAAGTGTGCCCAATGCTGAAAAGAAACAATAACGCCACAACTGCACACCGGTACCGTCCGTGGTTTGCTTGCAGAGCGCGCCGAGCCCGGAGCCGGGTCTGCATGTGTGCAGCGCCTACAGCATGAACAGCTGCTGTACGGAGGAGAAGGACCGGCAGCTGAGGATGAGCCCCGTCATGAAGATTGACAACTTTTATCTGGACAGATGCGGCACCCTGTCTCCCAGGTATTACGACTTCCCCGTGAACTTAAAGATCCTGGTCTATGGCCGTTTGTATGATCAATCATCAGACCTAAGGGTAAATAAAACGGTATTTAGAGAAATGCGACCATTATAACGCTAACTTGTTACAAACTGAAATCGTGAACTCCTAACTTTTTTAAACGCACAAAAAATGAAATACGCTACGACATGCGCCGCGCGTCGATCGTCGCAGGACAGATCATTTTTTTAGCTCCTGTAAACCGGCCCTATGTCTGACTCGGTGCCTGCAAATTGAACTGCATCGTGCCTTTGTGTCCTCCCACCCCCAGGTGCGAACAGTTCCGGTTGGCGCTGAACTGCCACTACCACTGCGACCCAATGATTTACCGGTACACCAAGCAGGGCCACACCCGGGACGTGCAGCACGTCCCGATATGCTCGACTTTCTGCGACGATTACTTCGACGCCTGTCGAGATGACCTGACCTGCGCGGAGAGCATGGCCACGGACTGGTACTTCACACCTGAAGGGATCAACAATTGTAGACCTGACTCCGAATGTCGCACGTTTGCTGAGGTAAGACACTCTTTTTATATGGCCTGTACAGTAGGACGGAGACCGTTGGGCAACTGACGGGCGGCCAAAAGCCATTGGCCATCAGAGATCACTGGAAGGCATCGGAAATCAGTGAGGTCTCAGGGAAAGGTTTCTTTAAACTATACCGAGGAACCGTCATGCAGCCATACGAAAATAGTTCAAATAGAATAGTCGGGTGATTCTTAAATTCCTACATTGCATTTCAGTAACCTAACAATAATAATGCAAAACTTGTGAAATAACAATACTTAATTCGCTAAAGGAAAGAACACAATTTTATAGTAAAACGTTGAACCTTATTTTAACACACACATTATACAGAAATCAAATTTTCAGCGACCACTCATCAGAGATCACGTTGCGAAGTGATTGGTCATTAATTATCCTGATGAAGGCGACAGTGGTCGCTGAAAATTTGATCTCTGTATAATGTGTGTGTGTTGGAATAAAGTTCAGCGGTTTACTATGATAACTACCAGCACAGATGAACTTTCATGATAATCTAAGAACACGATTTCTTCGGTCTCACCCCTGCCAGGTATACGTCGATGGTCGTGGCCTCTGTAACAACCTGTGGAGCGACTCGTACGTGTACTCGGAGGACGAGGACACGTGCATCAACCTCAACAGCGTGGGGTCCCAGACACGCGCGGGCGATGCCGAGGAGAACACCCCGCACACGGACCATCACGCCGACGACGGGCATCGGCACGGAGACATGGGCCAGGCCGACAGCGACAGTTGGGCGTGTACCAGGCATGACCACCGGCACCACAAGGTACGTATGTCATACCTGACCAACGGTAGAGTAGAAGAGGGATCAGAGATATTTCCTTTACGGATCTATTCGAATTCAGTAATGCAAAACATTAGTTGGCACAAGAGCTCAGTCGACGGGGCTAACCCAATGGCTAACTAGTTAGCAATAGTTAGTTTGCCAATGTTTTATGGCATATACAAAGTTTGTCACTAACCGGATGCTTTTCTTCATGGCTTGACTTAAAAATCATTGTGGGATATTTGACCATGAAAACATTTTAGTTAGCATATCACTTTCTTCGTGAATTATGCTCTTTTTCGGCATAATGAAATATACGTACCTCCATGGCTGTGGTCAGATACACTGCTCACAATCTTGCCATCTTTCATGATTTGATTTGTTCATTGTATGACTCTATCGCTCACCCTGCCGTCTCCCAGGAATACCCCACTCCGGAGCCCGATCTCCAGGTGTGCAGTCCCTACACGTACGGCAGCTGCTGCACGGCGGGGCTGGACCGCCAGCTCGCGGTGAGGCCGGTGCCTGGAGTGGACACGTTCTCCTGGAACCGCTGTGGTACCGTCAGTCCCCAGTACGTACTGCCAGGGTCAAGCCTGGGGTGTTCTACAGGAGAAATGTTACACATCAGCAGATGACATATTCATTTGCATAATCCTGCCAAATACATGGCCCCGACACTACTTGGCCCCGACACTACTTGGGGCTTTCCAATATACCTGAGACAAGGGGTTACGTCGTGATGTGCATGTGGGAGACTAAACCTAACCTAATCCCAATCGTAAATCTAATCCTAACCCTGAACAATGAACCTTAACCCTAACTCTAATACCAATCCTATCCCTAACCCTAGCCCTAAACATCTGACCGCTCACGTTTGTGGCAGCTCACTCAAACACTGTCTCTGTATGACGTTCGGGAAGAGCGATTATTGTACAATTAGAGGAACCAGCTACAGTTGGAATTGTAAAACTGATGTTGCTAATTTCCATACTTCTAACACGGCAGGTGTGAGAACTTCCTTATCGACCTGGAGTGCTTCAACAAATGTTCCCCCGACATCGGCCGCCTGTCCGTACCTACCGACACCGGCTCGACCATCCCCGTCTGCGCATCCTTCTGTGACCGCTGGTTCGATGCGTGCAGGAACGACGTCACTTGCGTCGGTATGTAGTTCCGCTTCCTCTCGCTTGGAGGCACTGTTGAAATATGCGTACATGGCCATGGCGGAAGAATAAATTGAAAATGATTTTAAATTGTTCTCTTCCTTTCGCAGAGTCGTCGGACAGAAGCTTCAGGGCTGTACATTTGTACATCGTACATCGTACATTTGTACATTTGTACATCAAGCCCCTTCAAAATGTCGTATGAACACTTTTTGGTACTTCTCTCTTAGTAGATCCTGTAACACTTATCTTACCTGTTTTAACGTTCAGCTAACTGGAGGTCTGACTGGGACATGGACGACCAGAACAGGAACAACTGTCCTGCAGGATCATCCTGTGTGACTTTCGACAAGGTGAGAGTTTTGTTAACGTTATAAATTAGGAAATGCTGACTCATTATCTTCTTGAAATGACAATCAGCTGCACTGTACTACATCATTGCTCCCTTATGTCGTCATCGTGACGTCAACACGTTGCCAGCGTCAGTCATCATCTATTGTCTGATTTAACAGAAGTAAATTGTGAAATTGGCATGCATTCGTGTCCCTCTAGATGTACGGGGATGCCCGGACGCTGTGCGAGACGTTCTTCGGAAGTGAGTTCCAGTACAACAGCACGGATAGGTGTGTGGACATCCCCCTCCACTCCTCACCTGTCCAGGACCAAGGTAAAAACCTACTGACCATCTTATAGAACATGATATTACAGAAAATGGTACATCTAATAGGTGCATTTGGTCGCATGTTTTTATGTATATGTAATTGTATGTTGATGTATTGTTATGTTTTATGCTATTCTTCCAGGAGAGGTTTTCCTCAATAAACCTCAATAGACTTTGGTGTAAAATACAATCCAAGCTAGGTTTTTATATAGATTTTTGGAAACCCTTTTCAGCATTTACCATTTTCAAATTTAAACAATACTACCTTTTCCTTATTCACATTGTTTCCGCAGACGCGGAACACAGCCACGAGAGCCACCATGAAGAGCGTGGGCACGAGGCGCTCCACTCCGGCCATGACCACGGAGACGGCGACGTGCACGGGCGCGAGGGCCACCGGTCCGGGGAGACCGGACACCACAGCCACGAGCTCCACCACCCCGGCCACGACTCCAGCCAGCACGGCCAGCATGGGCACGAGACGCACCATCCCGCCGAAGCCGAGGGCCACGGGCATGGGGAGCACCATCGCGGCCACGAAGGCGCCGATCATGGCGAACATGGGCACGAGGGTCACCATTCCGGCGAGGACGGTCACGGGCACGAGGCACACCATCCCGGGCACAGCCCGGACACCCACGGAGAACATGGGGACGAGGAGCATCACCATGGCGACGCCGCAGCCCATGGGCACGAGATGCACCACGGCGACCACGGCCCGGCCGCGCACGGAGAGCACGGTCACGCGGCGCACCATGCCCACGGCCACAGGAGCCACCACGACGACAGGAACGACGTAAGGGCTGTGCAGCCATTGGCATGGCCGGTTCATCAGTGCGTCTGGCAGACCGGCCTCAAGGACCATGACGGCTGGGTAACGGTAAGCTAACTCCCTGTCTCTCTGCAGTACCCTGGCTCAACCTTAATAGATTCCGCTAGTGACGTCAGAGAGGCATATGCACCTGTGCAACTGTTGAAAACAATGACACTCACACTCAAACGGAGTCGTATCCACCTTTTGATAGCTATAGATGAAACCGTCTTACCATTTAAGTTCGATATCTAAAAGTTCTTCGATCTAAATCAAGAGCTTCTATTCGTATTGCATGGGTGAGCAACTGCGCTACACTCAGACCCTGGCGACACGGCTCTTTATCACTCCAGGCAAACCAGACGGGAGATGGTAAAAGATGGCAATTTCCACTAAGACCGCAAAACGGCACATTATACATGTATCTCTCTTGCGGTCAAGTCAAAATCCAGGCGCTAACATTTCCCTGGTGTCTTCTTTCGTGAATAGCTTCATCAGGTTGGTAAGTCACTGAGTAAAGTAACTCTTTTTTTTACACAAGCAAGACTTTTATTCAGCCGTTTCGGTGGCCGTCTGTCACCTTCCTCAGGGCGATTCTGACTGGTTCACTGCAACACAGGTGTCGCTGCTATAGATGCATTCCCAAACGCACAATATTTACATTGTATATATCTACACATGGTGTCTTCTTCAGACGTGCAGCTTCAAGAAGAGGCACTACAACAGCGTGCTCCGCCTGGCGTACTCCGGCGGACTCATCCTCGCCAACTGCACGGAGTGCTGCAAGCGCTGGTACTTCACCATCAACGGCATCGAGTGCCAGAAACCGGGCGGCATCGACGCCATCGTCATGAAGATGGGGCACGAAGGGAACATGCTGCATCAACACCAGCAGTTCGAAGGTATGTGGGGAGATTTAAACAATAGATGAGGGCATGGAAGTAATTCTAGAGTGTAATCATAGAGTGAAGAGTGAGGTATAGGGATGAACACAAGACAAAAGTCGACGAGTGCAATACAGATGGATTTTAAATCACGTTTGACTATAAAGTATAAAGTCATAGTTCACTTTCCAACCATCTGCTGGTGGCTATAACCTCTAAACATGGATGATTCCATAAACTTACTTCCTTACACCACAGACGTTCCATTGATCCTTCTCACTTAGAGGGCTTTTAGAATATATCGAAAGTTTATTGCAAATTCATGTCAGGGGGCTAATTGTAAGAACATGATAACAACAATAAACAGTAAAAATGATAATAAGTAATGCTAATGCTACTTTAGATATACATTTGTTGTTATTGTTGGGTTTGATTCCTTTTCCGTATACAGTGGAATATATGTCTTATATTATTTACATTCTTGTCCATCACCAATATCTGCCTTTGGTGCACGGTAGAACTGACGCACTTAATACACCTTTACATGTAGGCTAGTCTGAACAGTACAAAAACTGGAATACAATGTACCATTATTGAGACAACTGCTATAAAAACATATGAACACAAGTGTCACATTTTCCCATTTACTCCAGGATTCTGTGACAAGGTGGGTGTGGGAGTGCTTGATGTGGAACTCCGCGTGCAGGACTGTACGGAGCACATGCCTCACCACGGGCACAGCGGCGCCACGGAGCCCGGGGACGCCCAGACCGGCGGGCACTGCTTCTCACGGATCATTGTCGAGGAGGTCGACATGAGCCCCTAAAGATCCACTCTTGTTATAATATGAGTCTTATCATAATACAATCAAACAGTGCCTTTCTTCGTTGTAGTTTTAGCCGTATGATAATATTTCTCTTTGCTTTACTGTTTGACCAAATTTCTTTTTGATTGTGTTCTACTGTGAGCCTCTTAGCCAACCGTACAGCACTACGAACCACCAAGAGCACATAATGGAAGTTTTCCATTTTAAGACCATTAGGCATGAGCCCCTAAAGATATCTATCTTTTATGAGTCTTCTCGTAATACAGTAAAGTGCCTTTCTTTGTTGTAGTCTTAGGCGTATGATGATCTTTCTTTTTGTCTTACTGTTTGACCAAATTTCTTTTTGATTGTGTTGATTTGTTTTGTTGTGTCCTTGATACTGGCGTGTTACTTACAAATAATCGATCACAAAATAAATCTCCAGGCTTATGATGATGTATGTGTGTGTTTTTCCTTTCTTTAATCTTTTTTTGTCATTGTGCCGTGATTGTTCAATACGGCAATTGATGGATAGTCTGGATTATGGAAACAATGTCGGTGAGCAAGCTTTTCAGCCAACCGCACAGCACTACGAACACCCCGGAGCACATGGTAATTTTCCTTTATGAGAACATTATGTCGACTGGGCATCTACTCTGTACAAAGAGTCATACCGATGGCACTAGCGAACAAGTTATTCTGCACACAATGAAAGTTCTATTGACGACGATGACTCGTGGGGTGCAGTGGAGTATAATGTACTCTGTATGTTTCTATCTGCATTGATATAATTTCTTCGACATAAAGGTCGCGTGACATCCCGACCGTCCTTTATACAGGCACTTCATCAATGTGTCAGGTCAATAAATGAATGTATATCAACAGCCTTTCAGGAATATAAGTCACTGCGAATAAATCAATAAACGATGATACGCAGCTAGCCGTGCGTGGTTATCTTAAACAAGGAACGTCCCGTCTTGTACGTACTGTCCTCGCTTGAACCGTCTCCGGAACAAGACAACGCCTGCTTAATAAGTCTCCCCCATGCTAAACAATGTATCTTCTTTCAGACAACAAACAGGTCGGACATGTCACCCCACCTGGTCCCCTCGGTCAATCTGAAGATACCATTACATATGTCCTCATTCAAATTAATGACCCCGCTACAATCATCGATAATAAAAAGGCGGTGACCCCGTCAGTCTCACCATGGCGACCGCGCGACCGGCTGAATGGAAGGGTCGCACCGGTCGACCTGGAAGTAACGATGTAGCCTGCTGTCGGATCGAGCACCCTTCGCGCTTACCTGGACGCACTCGCGCGTTACTTGTCCGACGTACTTCAACACTGCCGTGTGTGTTTGTCCGCGGTACAAGATAAACATTTGCGGGGCACGGTCTACAAGGAGGGCTAACGTTACTTCGTGAGGATTTGCAGGGTTTCCGAGCAGCTAGCTGAGTGGATCTGTTTGCGGATGGGAAAAATTGACTGGAGAAACAGGTGTCTGTAACCGCCGTGCGTGACTCGACGGACGAGAGAAGCTCGTACCTAGCAGCAGGTGACAGGGGATTATGCTGAGCTCAGCTGACAATCCCTGTTTACTCTATAGACGGACTCTGTAAACCTGTAAACGTGTTGTGTTTATTGTGACAGGCTTTTATAACAAGGCGGTCACGCCTGCGGCTGTGTGACAGTCGTACTTCAGGGGGAACTGTTGCTACGGACTCCTGACGACACCGAGCCGATTCACGGCACGGGGGCAGGGACTGTGATATGTGGACTACATTCTCCGCGAGAGTATGCTTGGTAACGAATATCAATCATTCTTCAGGCTCCATTTCCGCTGAGTTAAGACAAGGATTTGCATGAATGCGACACTTTCTTCACAAACAACTCGTCGGGTTTGGGTTACGTTTGCGTAGGGAGAAACTAGGACAACGACGACACTTCGACTTAACATGGCGACTGCAGAATGGCAACATTCTTCTTGTCTGACTATGGACGCTGCTGCTGACCTTGGTCTTCTGAGGTACATTAAGATTTCCAAGCGTCTTCCCGAAGTTAAGGAAGAACCTGAGAAGCCCCCCGCCCTACAACAAGTTCGTGAGGTGGACGCGCCGAGTCTGTCACAGAGGCGCCTCTCGGGCTACTTCGTGTCGTCGGAAAGTTTTCCGAATGTGAACTTGTCACGAAGGAGGTCGACATTTGAAGGCGGCGGCTTCGCGAAAGCCCCCAAGATAGTCGGCAACTCGTGCACGCTACACGCTAAAGACACGATGCAGAAACGGAGAGACCTAGACAGTGACGAGGAGAGGAGGACAACCCTGCCCCCACTGGTCAAGAATCCGCGGAAAAAGAGACAGAGCTCGAACGGGTGCCCTCGGCTCCTGGGGTGGCCCAGGTATCGCAGAGGACGCTCCAATCGTGTTGAAAAGCCCCAGTATTCTTTTCGTATCAAGTCTGGTGTTTCAACGTCTACGGAGGAGCCGAGGGTCAGCGTAGATAGTTCTGTGGATGACGAAAAGTCGCCGAGAGTTATTGACGTTTCTGTTGACGTGCTAACTAAAGAAGAGACTGTGGTTGATAAGGGAAAAGCGACGGTGACGCATGGACCACAGACCCTCCCGAAGCCGTCCACACAAAGGAGAACAAGTCTACCGAAAATCGAGAACGGAATCACAAAAGCTACCATGCACCAAAAATTTAGCTTTGACATTCTGCCTCGGGAAAAACTGCCTTCGCCCGACTTAGGCGCTCAAGGCCCCGCAGCAAAGACAGGAAAAACACCCCCAGTCGTGCAGCGCAATTTGCATATCCGCCTGCCGGACATTTACGAGCGGCAGCGAACAGTCCACTGCAGACATCCGTCAGAGTTCGGGTCATGGCAGGTTTCACGGGAGGAAGACGAGGATTAGGGTAAAGACGTTTTCGCAATATAGGCAAAACCGCAAGAAATATTTACAATCGGAACATTACAATTGTCAAATAAAACGCTATGTCACAATCACTTTCTAGCCGGGTGATTCGCGTAGCAGTAAACTGTATTTGAGAGCAACTGAAAAGGAACATAATGATAAATATGTTGTTAGTAGTGGACTATAATCCACGTCGTAAGAAACGAAAAGTTTCTAAGAACTGTACAGTAATAAAAGGGATAATGTTGCATTAATTGTCAGATTCTCGTATGTATGTGTGTGTCCGTGTGCGTATCTGTTTGTTTGTTTGTTTGTTTGTTTGTTTGTTGGACAAAGACAAAGTGATTAATCATGTATACTATAATGTATTGTGTAGCTGTATGTGAAATGCGTAGTTTCGTACCGTGATTAACTCTCAGAGCAAAGCTTCAGACTGCAGTCTTACATCAGCTCATTCTGTCCAAACACGTACATGTAATGTTACGCACACAGAAGAACGCGCTTTCTTAGAAACCGTCCCAATGTTGTCCCCAGATCTCCTCACTCGACGGCACAAGACAGAAGTCTGTGTTTATTTGGTCTAAAGCCAAGGACTGTACCCCGGAGTAGGGCTGGCAGAATTCTGATGACTTTACCGTTCTGGTTGTCGACCGAAGGAAGGTCCATTATTTATCCTTTGTCAGGCATCATACGTAATACCAGTTGGAATGACTTGACTTATTAAAGAGTCTCCGGAGACGAACGAGTTGATTAAAACATCGGTTTATGATTCGAAAAAAAAAGACAATATTGCGGTTGAATGTCTCGAAGTGGATTTGATTTGAACATGATCATGTCACCCGTACGGTTCAACTAAAGTTCAACTGTAGACGAGGAAAGGCGTAAACAAAACTTTTAACATGTGACAATTAAGTTAGACAGTATTTGAATTCGTACTTTATATATAAAGCTTCACCCTTTTTCATTAGGAATAATGGTCGATCCCTATAGAGGTATTTGGAAGTGCTTTAGCAGGTTTCATCGAGAGAAGCAGAAGAAGTCGACATGTTGCTGGAGGTGTGTGTACTGTGGACGTTCTGTACGGCCGTCACTATTGCGGCCACGGCTGACCAACCGGGCTCTGAACGGCCAAAACCCGACTTTTCGGTGGGTAATTATAATTACCATTTCAGTAATTTCTTTTCAAGTTGAGAGTCTGACTCTGATACATGTATATATTTGTTAGGCGGCCCAGGCCAATACTACTCCTTCATGCTACAGTATGTGGGCAGTGGCGGTGACGTACAACTTAGCCGCACGGCTTTAATAATTTGTCGGATCTTAACATTATATGAAACTCATACATAGTTTTTCAAAATAGTTTTATAATTTTGGCGCCAATGCAGGACACAAAACATCATAACGTCACATCTCTGACCACGTCTCCTTGTCGACTGGGCTGTGAGAGACGAGTGTTACCTCCCGTGCAATAATCTTAATCGGTGTGTATGGGGACATTCACACATATGGTCAGACAGGAGTCTAAATCCCTCCTGCTATAAAATTGAAACATGATGTAACCCAACGCTAGTTACTATGGTAACGGACCCAGTCTGGTTCAGGTCATTGTGACCTTTTTGGTTTGGAGAAGAAGAGGAAACGTAGCAAAAACAATGTGTTTTCCTTCGGTAAACATAAACAGATATTTTGTCATCATGAATACATACAGCAAAATATATACAGCGTGGTAACTTTAAACTATGCCTATGATATGTTACATTTGTAGAACATGTATCCTGTGGTTGCCGGACCACCAGGTACGTCCGGGGTACCTGGGATACCAGGGAACCCTGGGATGCCTGGTCGGGACGGGGTGAAAGGTGAGAAGGGAGACGCGGGGACTTGTGGGTGCGCCGGCCGAGGCCGCAATATCAAGCAGTGCTCCTGGAAGGAACTTAACAGTGGGACAGACTCGGGCAGAATTGCGGTAGGTAGAAATTGCTGTGATCCTATATGTTATTTCTTTCTTTTTCTTTATTTCTTTATTTCAGGCATAACTCGCCCATACACAACATACATATAAAATACACACACAATAACATCAGTAAAAGAATAATATAACTATATGTACAGACGGGCCCAGTTATTGCGAAAGAATCTGCTACGGAATATCACTTCAGATTTAAGAACAGATTGGATAATGTTGTTTGATGACTTGTATAGACGGGATATAAATGAGTAACATTGTTTACGCCATGTAGCATCAAATGTGTCAATCCTATTGAATACAAACATTTCACTTGCACTACAAAATCTGGGTAGTGACATTATGATGCGAAGACAGTTATTGTAAGCAACTCGACACTTTGATACAATTCTAGAACTAGCTCTGTCCCACAACTGTGCAGCAAAAAGTTGGGAGCAATGAGCTGTAAACAACGTCTTTTTAACATATGAAGAACAATAAGCGAATTTGCGTATAATAGTATTTGCACGGCTATACAGACCTCTTATCTGGGTAAGAATACAGTCGTCGTCACTCAGTTTGTCATTAATGTGAATACCGAGATAAACATATGACGTAACAACGTCGCTTTAATAGTATTGCGCCTTTCATACCTAATTTATAATTTGTTAAAATAGTATGTCATTGATGACGGAAGAGAAGGCATGCGCATAAATTTGCAATGCCACCAACTTGGTCTTTTTGCTTTTAATGATATATGTGCCAAGTTACTGCATGGAGGTCTTTTTTATACCTCCATGGTTACTGCCAACTTGTTTCAACTGTCTTTAAATACTAAGTATGTTTTAAATATGTAGTGTTATCTTTGTGTAATTTGCTCTATATGATCCCGTTATTATGTAAGTGCGATTTTAATGGAAGAATTAACAGATTTCATGTTATCATGCAATGCTGTATGTGACATGCAACTTGCAATATTGATTACAGTAAATCTGAACGGAACGGTGTCCCTACCCTTCCCGGTAAGTGTTCTGCTCAGGACCCTCAATGACGATTTGGTGGATCCGCTTTAAACGCTCCTACCCTTGTAAATTTGCGCACAGGGGTGTACCTTCAACAAGAACCGAGATGACTCGACCGTCATGGTCCTGTTTAACGGCGCCATGCGGGTCAAGTCGGGAGCTGCAGCCTGCAAGCGCTGGTTCTTCACCTTCAACGGCGCGGAGTGCACCGACCCGATGTCCATAGAGGCCATGGTGTACATGGACACTGAACTGTCCATCAACATTCATCGGGCAGGCACGGGTAATATATTGTTGAACGGAATTACTACAGGTTTAAGATGTCATTTGTGTTAGCACATTAGGGAAATGCTAGCCCTTTTCGGTACCTGAGTAATGGTAATGGGTCGGTAGATGGCGCTAGTGTACCCGTTTCTCTGAACTGGCTTATGTTGTGGACATGTTTTTGTCAATGATCATCCGGCGAATGACAGGAGAGAAGGCATGAGTCTGTAAAGTCCCCATCTTGGTCAAGCACATCGGTTCACCACTACTCTTCTTATTATGTTTACGGAATGAAAACATATTGTTTTTGCTCCTCAACACAAAAGGTCAATGACCAGAACAAGACGTCTGTCACAATGGTAACTGGTGTTGGGTTACATCATGTTGCAATTTTATAGCAGTAGGGATTTAGACTCTTGTCACTATATATTTTAAACGTGTTTGAGTAAGAATCAACAGAGCAGTCCATATGCGAAACATTATGCATTTACTTTGCAAATGTTACCTTTCTAGTACTTTAGTTAGTTATCTTACACCCAACTCTCGCTGCAGTTCAGGGTCTGTGTTCCGGGATCGGGCGCGGCGTGGTGGACGTGGCGCTGTGGGTGGAGGACTGTGAGGGGTACTCCAACGGCGACTCCGCCACCGGCTGGAACTCAGTCTCCCGCCTCATCATCGAGGAGATAGAAACCAGCGTCAACCCGTGATCACTGACGACTGGGTACAGCGGAACTGCACAGGCACTATGGCTGATTCAAACTCAACTAAGAATTCTCAGTCCGCTTTTGTCATTGCCATTGGGCTTTTTAGAATTTAATTATAGAAACGTTTATTGCAAACTCTTGCCCGGAGGCTAATTGCAAATTACAAAACATAAAAGAACAACGAATATATATAGTAGAGTATAAAATAACTAAAGTCTACATGATAAAGGTAGCTGCCTAGAACTATAACTATGTCTAAAACTATGTCTGTAGGGTTTGACTTCTCTTCTGTAATCCATGGAAGACGTAATGTCCCACCTTTTCCAAAATTTGTGGGTTTTGGGAAGTTAAAAGGAAAATATTGAATGAATGTTTATTGCATATTCCTGCCCAGGTGCGCTAAATGCATATGACCAAAAGAGGTCTAGAGGATATAAAACATGGAGGATTGAATACTGAACCGCTACATTCTAATGCTAAGTGCTAAAAGTCTATATATTACAACAGTACGATATACTCTCTTGCTGAAACATCTGGAGACTTAAGTACATAATTTGTTTACTATACATTCATTCCTCCATGACATTTGAAAGTCTCCTGCTTTCACGTTTTCTTACATATCTTACTGAGATGGCAAAATAAATCTATAAAAAAAAAAGAACGGTCAGCTGCGTTGCTGTATTCCCTAGCCTTGACGTCACTTGAATAAAAAAAGACGAAAATTGCTCCAGGGTGTTGTGCATGTCACTTGTACTAGTAACAACATTATAGATATGACAGTGTATAGTAATGGATAGCAATATATCTTTATGTGATGGCATGGTATATGTCATTCTTATGCATTCAATAGGAATCAGTGATATGCATTTTTGTATACATTCACGCATTCATTTTCCTCAAGTGGGGTGGGATCTTTAACGTGTTCGAATAATATCGTTTCATGTATTTGCTCAAACACGTAAAGTTATGGGTATTGGGACCGAAAGCTCCCCAACTAAGACTGCATAGCAGGGGCATCTAGCGTCCTTTTGATGGACTGCAGCTTGCATTCAGGAAGTCTTCGGAAAGTCATCGGAAACGAGGTGGATTGTGGGTGACTTCCGCCATCTTGGTCTGTATATTGATGTGGACTGAGGAAAACTGCGGGCAGGATTTCCACTTTTTTTCTACCACAACACAGGGCCGGTAAGTCTGAGACAAAGGCTGTCTGTTGTCTGGTTCATAGTTTCTGCCGTCAGCTATGTTTCTTTGCTGGTATGGATCACTGTGTTTCGTACCGAACATTTCTTTTGTCGAAGTTTCGCTTGTGTTTGTACACAAAGTTCGATCAATGGATCTCGGAAGGGAAAGCAACTTTACCAGTCGGGTGTCTGGCTAGAGCCCTGTCTGGACAAAAATTTCGAAAACTTCAAAAGCCTCATTCAGTTTTGACAGCCTGTGTGTGGATTATACTAGCCACGTATTCCCATCTAAACATGGCGAGTGAGAAATAGCTACATAATTTCTTGTAGCCGGATTATTTTGCTGAGAGGTATTTTGACCTAGTGTGTTGTGGTTTACATCTTATCAATCCGAATAACTTCCTCATTTTGTAACTGTAGACCAAAAACATATTTCCTGCTGCGGTGACTTTTCCTCATTAGTGAAGCATTGGCACGGGTATCCGCCGGGTATCCTTTCTTTTGATATCGGACAAAACAATTCCGGTAAGTCACACACTTGTCACGGCGTTTCCTTTGTACTCGGAAACCCTCATCAAAATGTATGTGATGCGATGTTAATTTTTGGAGTTAGCATTTTAATGGATCGGACCCCAGGGTCGTCTGGATCTGATTATAACATAAGCCTTCATATTATACTTGATGTATCCCAGAATGATGATTAACATCGGACAATCATTAGCTGAAGGGTGTTTACCTTGTCTTTCAGTTTGTCATTTTGTTTCACATCACATATTTGTGTTCAAACTTCAGAGACAGGAAGTGTAAAATTGGTCTGTTAAATGTCACATTGTAAGTGTACATTAAGGGCTGCTCTGGTAAGTATAAGAAAGGACGTAATGTCCTTGGTACAAGGTTTGTAAATTAGGGCAATCTGCTCCACTTCCTGAGGATGAGTTGCCATATTGATTTGATTTGTAATTATTGATTAACCTATCTCTTGGCAATCTTGCTCAATCCCCGACTACAGCTTGATTGCTGCTCTTTATTTCATTACTTGTAATGCTTTACCAGGCATGTGATGTCAGCCGTGTCCGTGGATGTTCTAATGAAACCTATCCCTTTTCCTGGAAATCATTAGTTGAGAAACACTTCCTGGTATTATGTCATATTGGCATGTAGTAGGAGTTACAGATGAACAATACTAGGCTAATGTCAATTAAGCTGGTATTGGATAGAACTGACTTGTCATTACAGATTTAAACAAAAAGTTAGCATTATGCATAACACTAAAGTCAGGTCAAAGATACAGCAGTAAGCCGCAGTTTGCCTGTCACCTGTTCAGGTACTTATAGCCATAGGAGTTATAAATGAACAATAGGATAATGGTAGTCCATATAACCGACTTATCACTCAGTCATCACAGTTGTTAACAAAAAGTTGCCATTATGCATAACACGACAGTCAGGTCAAAGACACAGCAGCTTACCTGTCACCTGTTCAGGTGCCTCTGTGAACAGGTAAGAAGGCACATACCAGGGCAGCTCAGGTGGCATGACATGGCATCCAGGTATGCTGGTTAGAGGCGGGGTCATTTTGTAGTACGGGTCAGATGATTTGGGCATCTGAAAACCTGAAAGGTTTTTTGCTTCCTATTTTGCTTAGATAGTGCTGATTTTGAAAATAATACCTCATCTATATAATTGTAGAGTACCGGCAGCAACTTTTAGGAGATGGCTATTGTCCTGTGTCTTTTGTTTTGGTCATGTCATTTCACAAGTATGGTGTCCAGTGAAAGACTGAACACAATCAAAACCAGAATCGAAGATTTCACAGCTCAGTGAAGTATTTGTTGTGAATTTGTTGCAAGTTGTTGTGAATTGATTTTTTTTTACTCATTATTGTGAATTTATCACTGATTCTCTACATTCTCCACTACATCTGTACTTGCACATATAAATTCCACTGACAGGCAGTGACAGCCAACTTCCTGTTAGTCCTCAGTTACACAATTTCCATCTCACTACCTGTGACGCAAAAATTGCATTCAAAAACTATGGTCATTCAAGCAAACAAACAAACAAACAAACATGTCGGTGAAAGTTACATGTAAACATCCAGGTAATAAGATTTGCCAAAAACAGTTACTGAAGCAACTAGATCATGTCCAGATATTCCAAAATCATATCCAGTTGCTCAAGAGTAATTGTTTTTGGCATAAACAAACAAACAAACAAACACACCAAAAACAAAATCCTGTGCACAGCGAGCTAACAACACATCTGCTTGGAGATTCCTGCCAGGACTTGCTGGTATGCCCTGTGGATGAGTGAGTATGATTTATGTGGACCACTGGCTACTTCTGCCATATCGGGTATCATAGACAGGGACAGGACACTCAGTAGGAAGTACCCCCTGTGGAGCAGGGTGAGATATGGCTGGAGCAGGGGGCTCTGATCTCCTCCTATTGGTTTTCCAACTTGACTTTGACCGGCTATGTAAGTGGACAGTATGGTATCTGAGAGCCACACGACAACTCACCAGTATGGATGGCGAGACAGACACGTACAGATTATCAAATGATCTCTCGTGCCATGGGTACTACAATACGTGTGTTTACAATGTACCTGCACACTCTTGCATATGACATGTTTTGTATACACAAGTAGCTGCTCAGCTTACTGTGCATCTTGTAATATTTGCAGTGTGTTATCTGCATGGTTTTCACCCTAACCTCTGCAACGTGAATTCATTATGTCACAAATGTCCTGTATGAGTATGACTACTGTACTATAGACTTGTTTCGACCGATAATCTTAAATACAGTGAAAACCTCTGTTTCCCTCCTGCCATGAAATAAAACCACCGTGAAAGTAAACGAATTTACAGTAGCTACTTGTGATGGCATCTGGTCAGGGGGAACACATTGTTAGGCGGCAATCATGTGAGTAGCAGATGATAACTGACAATAATGAGATTATTCGTAATCCCCAAAAACTGGCAGTTTTCTGGTACTGTGGTAGGTGAACTCCATACTACCCATTAGAAGATTGGTGGATAATCCTGGTGTTACCCAGCCTGAAGCCAGTAGCCATGTAACCCACCTCTAGAGCACAGGTTTTACTGCGGTCTATTTTAAGTCTGTTGATATAGCAGTGCATGGTTCTGGTGAAAAGGACCCTGTCCTGCCACCCAGGGTAGGACCTTTTGCCATTCTCAGTTTCTCACTGCTCTTCGTATGTTAGATATCAATGTAAGTTGTAGAAATCTTTTGAAAGTAGTTAGATGCAAATCTTGAACTTGTGCTTGTCTTTGAACTGCCACATCACCTATGACTATGAGGTATATTTGATTGATGAAGGTGAGAATGTCAGGTTTGATACAGCATTCAGCTTCTTTCTAGTTTTTGGTTGCACACATGTACATCATACAAATTGTACATGCAATGTACATGTACCCATATGAACTTGATTGCTGGTAGTCACTGCTAAGAAATAGACCTCCAAGTAATGTCTTTGTCTTTGAACTGGCTCTTCCTTTAGACTAATTTCTAGATCTTAAAGATAGCAGGAATATTACCTGTCTGTCCAAAGTGATGTCCACAAATGTATCTGACGAGCTAGATGTAACAATCTTTTATGATAAACTGTCATCTTTCATTCGCTCCATACCCAAGCATAATGTCCAGATTATCTGTGGGGACATGAATGCACAATTGTGCACAACAGAAATGGAGTATACCTTGCGCAATTTTTGATCGAGAATGGATTACTTTGTCTTAATACTCGATATCAAAAGAGAAGAGGGAAGCTATGGACATTCACCTATCCAAATGGAATGAAAGCACAGATAGACTACATAATTGTAAACAAGAAATGGATCAACAGTGCTCATAATTGTGAAGCTTTCAACACCTTCGAGGGCGTTTCCTCAGATCATCGCATCGTGACGGGCAGGTTCCAACTAAGCCTCCGCGCAAATAGAAAGGGTAAAGGCAAAAAGACCCCTTATGACTGGAAGCAGTTGTCTAATAATGCGGAAGTACGAAATCACTTCACAACCACTCTAAGGGACCATTTTGAAAAATCACAAGAGGAAAGCTGTCAGTGTACACCGAACAGCACATATAACAACTTTGTATCAGCTCACCAGTATGCTGCAAAGACATGTATACCATTGAAACAAAAAACCAGAAAGCAAGCCCCCTGGGACAACAAAGTCGTCGCAGATAAAAGGGAAAGGGTTAAAAAGCTGGCAGTACACAAAAACAGGGTAGCCACCAGAGGCAACATCCAAAAGTTCAAAAGAGCTCAGGACGATCTGAAAGAAGCATATGTAAGTGAACAACAGAAATACATCCAACAACAAATAAGCATTATTAGAGAGGCAGGGGAAAACCAACAACCAGCTCTTGCCTGGCAAACAGTAAACGATATCAGTGGAAGAAAGCGATCGTCCCAAGCAAAACTCAAGGCATCAAGCCAGGAAGAGAGATTACAGAAATGGAAAGAACATTTTGAGAATCTATTAGGAAAGGCCCCGGTTATCAAGAACATACCAGTACAGAGAATCATAGAGGAAGAGCTTCCTATTAGAAAAGGACTTTTCACAGAAGATGAGCTGGAGGAAGCACTTAAGAAACAGAAGGGCAACAAAGCAGCAGGCTTAGATGAAGTGCCCCAGAGGTGTGGAAGTCAGGACACTTCAACGATATCCTACTAAATGTGTTGCAAACGGCATGTACAAGCAAA